GGATACTTGATTTTGTACTGAGAGCATAAAACATACTGAACATCTCCTCCTTCCCGCGGGTCATTTGCAGTTTCTAATGGAAGTGGCTTGGAGACAGTGAGCTGTTAGCAGGTGCACTATCTGTCATGTCCAGGCAGCCCCGTCGCTGCTCTTCCCTTCAGGTCAGCCTCCTACACAGAAGCAGCTGTGAAGCATGACCCAGACCTTTGAGGAAACCATTGGTTCTGAAGTGAAAGGAAGCTGAAAGATTGGGAAATGCTTATAAGATCTGACTCCAGAGCTCGCTTTTTTAATGCAGAGTTGAGACTGGTCTCTATCTCCCTATCTGAGTAATGATGAGGTTAAGTCAGATCAGCATTTCTCATTGCATGGTCCTAAGACCACCTGAATCAGAATCCCCCAGTGGCTTGTTAATGCAGGCTTCTAGGCCTTATGTGGAACTCGAAGGGGTAGAGCCTGGAAAGGCCCAAGTTTAGCCATCTCCCCAGATGATTCTGGTATGGTTTGAGAATCATTGATCTCAGTCAAGACTGCTCAGACTGTGTGTTTATTCATCCTGTGGCAGATTCCGTTCAATCTGTTTTCTTCTTACCCCCTCCTTGAGGTCTGTCAGATGAGGGATGGCAATTTGAGTGGGGAAGGAGGTATGTGATTCCAGAACTGGAACACAATGGGGATTAGGGCAGGGCTTGGTTGAGGGTTGGGGGTCTGCCATTGGTAGAGAAACCTTTCCTTTTGTCCCAGGATGTCCCTAGTCTCCCGTCTGGGATAGTACTCTACTGGGTGGGGTTTAAGTGGGAGTGAGCTGACCTGGGACTGCACCCCTAGGGTGAACAAGGTTCCTGTAAGATAGCTCTCTATTAGTTCCTAACAGATGGATTGCAAAGTAGACTCCTGAACAGTCTCTAGGAACCTAAGCTGCCCTTGAACATATCAGGGGTGAGTTTTTGGGGTGGGGTGGGGTCAATAATGGGGCAAGGATACCTACACTATGCTCCTGGCCAAATTTCCTTTCTGTAGGACTGAGTCTTCCAACTCTGTAAGACCATCTTTCCCTATAAGCTCAAAAGGACTCCCCGTGGGTGGGCCAAAGGGAAGATCCTGAGCTGGGAAGGGCGGCCTGGGCATGAGCCACTATGAAGTAAACATTCACCTGAGAGGGGTCATTGGTCTTTATCATCAGCTTAGCTGGTTCTCAAAATAGCTCTGAGTTGCCTAATGCACAAGACTCACTTATCTCTAGTGTGGCTTTTTGTTTATCAAAGAAGTTTCTAAGCGCTGACATGCTCCAGAGAGCATTCAAAAGGTAAGAGGTGGCATTTACAAAAATCCATTCTTTCCTCTTCACCTCACTGCTCTATTGACTGTTTTCCTGTTCAATCTAATCCTATTTACAGCTGCGCATCCCATTTTAGGAGCTGCCAAGGTGATAAATATCCCGTCCTTTCTTCACTGCACTTGCTGCCACCATAACACCTTCCCTTCCCCATCCTGAAGGGCCTGGGTCCTCTTTGGTTGGGTCCCTCATGCCTAGGAAGTTTCTATTTGGTTCCCAGCACATGGGATAAGCCAATTGCTTTGTCCCCTTCTCCTCTTTTCACCTTTCCCCTATAGATTAGCTGTGCTACCTCTAGCTGGGAATTGTGGCCAGGTCAGTCCTGCTCTAAGTCATGACCTTTTCCATCTTCCCATGTGTCATGGCACTGACCTCTGAGGAGCTGTGGGCAGGCAGTGCAGGAATGTGGCGTAGAAATGGGATAGAGTCCACACGGTCAGGTTCCCAGTCTGCCTCGAATCTAGCTTCCTTTCTCCTGTTCATTCCCTCATTCTTGTTAATGCAACACTTGGTGAACAATACTGTGTTCAAGCATTGTGCTAGACCAGTGGTCGGCAAACCGCGGCTCACGAGCCACATGCGGCTCTTTGGCCCCTTGAGTGTGTCTCTTCCACAAAATACCATGTGCGGGTGCGCACTTACAGTGCGATTTAAACTTCGTGGCCCATGCGCAGGCGGGCCACAGGATACGCAGCAGCATGGGGGAGGTACATTGTTTTGAGGTACGTTCGCTGAGGTCGACCCCTTCCAACTCTCCCATCCACACTCCTCTATCTGAAACAAGTATACAAGACGAGTGTGGATGGGAGAGTTGGAAGGGGTTGACTTCAGCGAATGCACCTCAATCAGATTGAGGAAGTTTTTAGCAAAGGCCAGCTTAGGAGTACCCTAATTAAGTTAATAACAATGTACCTACCTATATAGTTTAAGTTTAAAAAATTTGGCTCTCAAAAGAAATTTCAGTTGTTGTACTGTTGATATTTAGCTCTGTTGACTAATGAGTTTGCTGACCACTGTGCTAGACTGGAAACACAGGAGGGACATCAGGGCCTCACCATGAAGGGTTGAAACTTGTGTTTATCAACTGACATCTTGACTGTTGCTCAATAACAGTGCATCCCGTAGTAAATACATTTAACTTTGCCTCTAGCAGGTCTACAGCAAATGTGCTTTTGGGTGATTTAATTCCTTCCACAGTCGATCACTGGGTTTTGGAGTACAACGGATTCACTAATGATCTTGGCCTGAGCTGGTAGACAGTTTGTAAATTAGGCCCCTGTCCAGAAAGGGTCCTGTGGAGCCAGATCAGTCTACAGGTACCTTTTCTTGCAGCTTACCCTCCCCTTTACTCCTCATTCATCATCTCTATTATGATCACCACCATTCACTGAAGCTTATTATACACCAAGACGGATTCAGTTCTCTTTCCTCTTATTGGATCCTTACAGCAATCCTGTGATGCTGATCATCTTAGTGTTCTCACTTCAGAGCTGGGGAAACTGAGGCCTAGGGGGTTTAAGCAGTTGCTCAAGGCCATACTGCTTAATAAGATGAAAGCTCAGACTAAAACCTTGTCTGTCTGAGCCATGGGGTGCATGCGCTGAGGGGAGGACCTAGGTACTCCTCAGGTGCATTTCTCAGCACTGGGCCAGGCACTTGCTCTATGTGATCATACACTACTACTTTGCTTCAGAGAGTAATAGCTCTGTGGTTCAGCAGCACCAAGGCCCCACCCTTCTTGGTAATTCCACTTGGGTGGGGCATGGGGTTTCATTGCATTGGGTCTGGGTTCTTAGAGATGTCAAGAAGTACTTAACCCTGTTGGTCCCAGCTGCTGTGCCTGTGGCTGGAGACCTGACTATGGCTAGAGATTCTGGGCAGGAGCTGGAAGGCAGGGAGAACTTCTGGGCCTAGGTGGCCTGGGGTGGGACCTGGACGAAACACTTCTGTGCTTCAGGCACTTTACTAAACTGTCTCATTGATCACCTAAGGGGTATTTGTGAGTAAGATGGGAAGTCTTATTTATACTTGTCTGCACAGACACAAACTCGGATAAGCCCAGTGACTTGGCCATTAGTAAGGTCATCCTTTGCTATAATGAAAGCTCAGGTCTGCTATATTCTAGCCCACTGCTCAGTGCTACTTATCCTCTCCAGGAGACGCCAGGCATCCCCCACAGGGGGAAGGAACACAGGTCTTCAGGGAGACAGGCTCACTGAGATCTGACACCAGCTCTGTGGGGGAGGCTGTGCCACTGCCTTGTTCTGTCTGCAGCAATTGTTTCTGGGCCCTGATGTATCCACCTGACTGTGCCCAGCCTCATGCTTGTACCACATGTCTCTTGCTTCCCTCGCCTGGGCCTTCCCTACTGCTGCTGAGGCACATGATACTGCAGGACTTGCTCAGTGGCCATGCACAGGTGCTAGCTCGCCCAGTCAGGCACGGAGAGCTGATGACTTGTGCCCACTAGCAGACCTACCTCCCATGCTATGTGGATATGTTTTCCCCAAGGGCTGCCCTGGAAGTGCAGGCAAGTTAATGTCCTAGGCAGTGACTTTGACTCATGACAGATAGCAGATGGGAAAGATCTGGCTGATAAATTCTTGATTTCTCATCCTGATGGGCTATTCTGAGATGTGGCATTTCCATTAGTCTTCCCGGAGAAGTCTGTCATGACCAAGTTTTATGTTCTGGTAGATGGTGGCCAAGTTAGCAACTAGTATGTGCTTTCCCTCCTCCCACACTGCATTTTCCATTTTCCTTCGTCTTATTTCATTTCGATTGCAACTCTCTTGCTCCATTAATGTGTTGGCATGCAAGATTTTCCCAGAGCATTGTTTTCTAGGCAACACAGGCTAAGCCAATAATAACAGTAGTGATAATAGTTCCTTCCATTTATTGAACTTAGTGTGTGGCAGCTATATCAGCTCATTGAATCTTCACAGTATCCTAATTTTCTTTAAATCCTCACCCAAGGATCTGTTTTTATTGAGAGAGAGAGAGAGGAGAGAAACAATCGATTGGTTGCTTCCTATATGTACCTTAACCAGGAATCAAACCTACAACTTAGTTACATGCCCTGATTGGGAATTGAACTTGCAACCTTTTGGTGTATAGGACAATGCTCCAACCAACTGAGCCACCTGGCCAGGGCACACTATCCCTATTAAGCAGGTACTATTATTATCTGTATTATCCTTATTTTAAAGATGAAGAAACTGCTCTGGCTGGCGTTTGATTCCACATCAGGGCACATGCCCAGGTTGTGGGCTCGAATCTCCAGTGTGGAATGTGCAAGAGGGAGCTGATCAATGTTTCTCTCTTGCATTGATGTTTCTCTATTCCCTCTCCATTCCTCTCTCTCTAAAATAAATATATATATATTTTAAAAAGAGACCAGAGATAAAAAAATAAAAGATGAGGAAACCAAGGACCAGAGAAGTTAAGGAACATACAGCGTGTAAGTGGCAAAATGAGGATTGAACCCAGCTCTTCTGTTCCTCCAACTTGCGAACACAAACTCTAAAGTACCCTTGAATAAAGTCGCCGTTAACCTTTAGAAATACCAAGGAAACCTGAGTCTCTGCAAAGAGCTACCTGCAAGAGACTCTCAAAGATTCATAGAAAGCCCATAGAGACCTCAGGGGAGTCCTGGGATACTCACGTTGTAAACGCTGGGTTGTACTTTGCACCTCGGTAATAGGAGTACAGATTGAACATCCCAATCATGAAGGCCACAAATACCATGATGAAAATGACCATGAACTTGAAGATATCTTTCACGGTTCTCCCCAATGAGATCTGCAAGGGCCCAAAACTTTCGTTGGCTGGCAGGATGTACGCGATTCGAGAGAAGCTCAGCACGACAGCTATTGCATACAGCCCTTCTGATATGATCTGAGGGTCTGAGGGCCACCACTTGTCCCTGGCTAAATGAAAACAATCTGGGTTACTCTCTGGGGCTAGGATATGCTCTAGAAGAGAAACCAGTTAGTCATCTTTAGAAGTCTCTAACCTTATCACATGCCATTCCCATCCTTGTCTTTAAATTGATCCCAATACGCTCCCTCTTGGAATGTGCTGGACCATCTGCCTGGAACATTGTTCCCTCACTACAAGGTCCATTTCATTCCCAATTATTCTTCAAGACTTTTCTCAGCTGTCATCAATTTCAGGAACCCCTCTCTGACCCCACCATGGGATAGGGAAGCCTCCCTGTTCTCCTCTACTCCACCACAGTATCGTGTATACCCCCTGTTGTGGCACTTACCATGCTACTTGCTATAATGTGTTTGAGGCACTTACCATGTTACTTGCTATTCTATGTTTGAGCTCCATCGGCAGGGGCTGCCCCATTTATGAGTAGATGGAGGAGGAGGAGCATGGACTTAGAGTCAGACAGACCTGAGGTTGAGAGTGGCCTTTCTACACACTGGCTGTATGATTCTGAGCAAGTTAGTTAACTTCCTGAGTCTTATTCTCCCCATTTGTCACTTGGGAAATAGCCTAGGAGAGCTGTGGTGAGGATGAAATGAAATCATATATGTAAAGTGCTTAGCTGGAAAACAAATTCCAGGTAACTCAGGGGCTTCTGGGGACAAGGGTCTAGCACACAGCAGGTGCTGATAAAGGTTTGTTAAATGACAGAATTAAATCCTAACCACAAGTTTAGACTAGCCACAAATCAGAACAAGTGAGCTCACATGGGGGCCAGGAATCTGGAGGACCTTGCTGAGGAAATGCTCCTGGGTTGTATTCCTCACTGTGTGTCTGTGAGAGTTGTTACTTGATTGAGTTAGGAACCCTAGAGTGGTGACCAGTCAACCAAGTTTGCTATGACAGACCTGTTCTAGGTGGCAAGAGTTTTAGGACTTGTCCGAGGCTGGGGAGATGCTGCTTGTGGTCACCAGTGAAGGTCTGAGCTACCTTGGTTGTATTCCTGCAGCAGAGCAAACCTGCAAAGTGTTCCTATTGCAGTTCTAATGGTGCAAGGAGCAGCATCTCTCTCTAATGAGCTGCCTACTATGTGTCAAGACTTATGATTCTCAAATGAGGGCAGCTCCTTCTTCCTGGGGAAATGTGTGGGGTGTCTGTGGTTGTCATGATGATGGAGAAGGTGTATTATTGTGATGCTAATGTCTTGCAGTGCTCCAGACAGACCCACACCATTGAAAATTGCCCTGCTGAAAAAGCCAATAGTGTCCCTGTTGAGAAATGTGAAGTGAAACTTAAACTGAGAAACACCGAGAAACCTTAATTAGCCCTTACATTTACATTAGCTGTAATTTTCACAGCAGCCCTGTAGAGTACATATTGTTGCCATTTTAAAGGCTGGATTTGGGGTATGGGGCCCTTTTAAGAGCCAAGTAAATTTAGAGAACAAAGATATTATATAGCAAGTCTTGGCACCCCAAGGGAGATGGAAGAGGAAGAATTTTATTCTTTATTTTCAAAGCTAGACTCTGTTAAACAATAATAAAGAACAGTAAGACATCTTTAGTAAAGGAAACAGGCCTCTGTTTGCCACAGAGTTTCATGTAGTGCATTTAAATTACATTTGGAAATATAATAAAATTATAGACTCTATGTTCTCATCAAGGTCATAACTCAGAAGTCTACGAAAGACAAGGAGACTAAATTTTGTTTTTCCAATATATCTGTCGCCCTCTATGGATAAATAAAACATTTGGATAGTATAAAATAAGACCTAGCTTCTTCAGACAGACACCAAAAGGAATTATTTTTTCTTCCTCCTATAATTTGCCATCTTAAACCTCAGCTGAAAGGCACTCCTATAGTCTAAGATAGATTTAAATTAAATCAGACCTTGGTGACCAGGTCAGGACTTTTTAGTGAAAAATATTCTCCTTGAATTGGCTTGTAAGAGTTGTGATGGGTGTAAAAGCAAACAGCTCTGTGATAATTCAGATAAGGATTTTCTTCTTGGAGCTATTTCCATGAGAAAATTTGTCCTAAACTGAAAAATACCTGCCTATTTAGTACTGTAGAGGTTGGAAGGGACCATGCCTATCTGGCCACAAGAGGGCATTCTTTCTCCACAACGGAAACACAAATGAACACAGCCAAAAGATTTCCAAGGGCATGGAGTGAACCATAAAAGCAAGGGCAATAAATACGCAATGCTTGGGTTGGTTGAGACCTTAATGTAATCCATAAAAGGATTAGAAGTTACAAGTGGACAATATGAAGCCTGAATGATGGCATTAAGAAAAGTACCCAGTGCAGTATCAAGATTCTCTCATCTTCCCTTGAACCCTGAGCAGCACAGAGGGGAAAACATACAAGACCATTTTGCTTTTGAAAAGTCTGAATTTTCAAACCAATAAATGAAGAGTGGATGATTTGTAATACTATAAGGCCCTCCATTTCTCAATGGGGATTTCCCTACCACATTTAAAAGTCAAAATCTGCATAACAATCTACATTGAATATAGGCAGCAACTCAACTTTTGCAGTAATTGGCCAACCCTCTGCAGATCATTGCTGTACCTGATAATGAAGATTCTGTGGTCACAGGAGCCATGTGGCTTTATCTAACAGTGACATTTGACATTCAAACCCTTCATGATGTAACAGTTGCCATTAGTGAGTGCGTATGAAATGTCCAGCTAATTTACCCATAACAAATATATACTGTTTCTTCTCCCCACACATCTCTCTCTTTAGTACAGAAAGTATAGTGTTTGAGCAAGAAAATGACTCGAGAGGTAGTATGATAATAACTGTTACTATTTAGTAGCATTTAATATTTTCAGAATACAGTACAATATTCTTCATATGAACCAACTTATTTACTCCTCAAAACAAACTTTCTGACATGTATTATCCCAATTTTACATATAAGAAAATGGATGATCAGAAAAGTTAAATAAACAAGGTTTCACAGTAAGCTACAGAAGTAGGTTTGAATTCAGGTCTAACTCCAAAGCCTGAGAACATAACCACTGTGTCTTCTGCATGGTTTTCAAATTCATGTTGGGCCTGGATCCCTTGCAATCCAAGACAATCCTGTATTTATGGGAACATTGTGAGCTCTGCCTTGAAAACCTATTTCTTCATGTATAAAATGGGACTAAAAACCCTCGTGCAACGCTATTGCAAAAATTGCAATTTATAGTATAACATGTCGGTACAGTTCATAGCCCTTAGTAGGTCCTCAATAAATGGATCCTATAACTCATTATTCCTAAAATTTCAATCTAGTAACTCACGCTGTATGGCCTTGTGGTTTGAAAGAATTAAGGCATCTCCTAAGACACTATCTTGCTATGAGAAAATATATTTTAAACTGAGAAACCAGGACTTTGCACAAAACACAGGGATCCAACATGAAAGGAAAAGCTTCTGGATCCGCATCAGAACTGAGATTTTTCTTTAAAAAAGAAAAAAAATCCCACAGAAATGCTCCAAGAACCTTTCCCAAACAAATCTATCCTTTCTAACACAAAATGATTCGTTTCTCTTCGTCACTAATTCAGCTTGCAGTGCAGTGACTAGGACTTTCTTTTGGGGCTAACGGTTGTGTCTACATTAACATTCCAGATGACCAACTGCTGAAGGACCTGCCAAGCTAAGGGCCCAGGGCCACGCCGCAGAAGTGCCTGGGGAGGAACGAGGGGGAATACTTGGACTCACCGTAGGTGAAATATGCCACTTCTGGCGGGAGAGAGACATTGTGTAGTGTGTCGTCCTGCACGTGCTGGTCCACGTACAGTTGGGCTTCGCTGGCCTTCAGGAAGGCCATGAACCTCGCTGTGAAGGAGGCCACGAAGATGGACAGCATCCCGAAATCCAAGAGGTTCCACAGGTGTAGCACGTACTCCCGCGGCCCCTCCTCCCAGATTTCCTTGCATTCGGACCAAATCATCCCTGTGGGAGAGTGAGAAGGTCAGGCTCATTTTTCAGTTTCCTTGACATTTGTGATTACAGGGGGGCATGGACGGAATTGGGGTACAAATATAAATAAAAACTCTTGGGAGCTGAGAAGGTTGATAGCCAGCAACAAACAGAAACCTATCTTAAAAGGCAGATTGAGAATCGGCAAATCCTCAGACTGTGAGAATAGGTTTCACAAACCTATTCAGTGCCTCTCCTTTTGGATAATCTCCAGAGGCGAGGAGAGAGTTCTCCTCCATTGAGAAATACAGTGGATGACTTTTATACGTTTGAAGAATGGAGAGGTCTTAAGAAATCATCCATTTCTGAAGAAACCTAGATGCAGGTGGGCTTTTTGAAGGTCCCACATATGACTTAGAACCCAGATGTTCTTCCTTCCAGGTTAGAATGCTTTCCTCCGTATTTCTATGACTATTTTAGTGATTGTTAGTTTTGAGTTATTAATTTTTTCTTACTTTTTTATAACTTTTTAATATCTTTTTATAACTTACTGGATTTTAAAGATAGATGTCCTCATTTTTACATATTAAACTATGTAGAGGCATGTAAACAAAGTGTTCCTAGTTCCCCCACTCCACTTCTAAGACAGCCTTGTGAGGTAGCCTAGACTAACAATTTGGTGTGTATCCTTCCATACCTGCACTGTCCAATGTAGGGAGCAACTAATCACATGGATACTGAGCACTTGAAATATGGCCTGTTGAATTGAGAGGTGCTGTATAAGTGTAAAATACACACCAGATTTCAAAGACTTAGTACAAAAAATGTCAAATATCTCAATTTTTCATATCAATCACATGTTGTAATGATAAGAATTTAGGTTAAGTAAAATATATTATTTATTAATTTCATTTAAAATTAAATATGTGGCTTATGGTATGTCTTGCACTACATTTTTATTGAATAGTGCTATGTTGCCTTTATCTTCACTGATTATTGGTTTGCATAATTAAAAGTTAATTATTAAATAACATTTCAAGCACTTAATATGTGCCAGGAACTGTTTGATATAGATGTATATATTAACTCTCTTCAGTATTTGCAATAACTATGAAGTACATTCTATTATTATCTTAGTTTTACAGCTGTTTTGTTAGGCACAGAGAGTTATAATGTGCCCAGCTAGGAGGCATACTTAGGAGATTAATGTGGTAGAAGAATCACTAACTGGTTGGTTAGTGAAACAGTTCCACCTCACTGACCACATACTCCAACATGTTAACATTGCTAGCCTCTCTTGGTACTCCCCTTGCTCCTCTGCATCAGGCACGATGGCCTGCCTTCCCAGGTGCCTCCTGTCTCTCCTCAGCATCCATACAAGGCCTGCGAAATCATTTGGTGTGGCCCTACCAAGGCAACTGCAGGTGGGACTTGAAATTCAGTAAATCTAGGAGCTTTTTTGATAAGCAGCAGAAATTTATATTAAGTGAATTATATTAAGCGAATGATGTTATAAATATCCAAATGGCCCTTGGCAGAAAATCAGTTCCCCACTCCTGCCTTGAAGGCTGCTGCTTTCCAAGGTTTCAGCCTTTCTCATTCTTCCCTCTGTCCTTTTGTAAGTTCATCCACCCCTGCAACTTTGTCCTTCATTTCCTTGTGAATGTTTTCCTTCAGACCTCAAACCCAAGCACACTGGCAGATGACCACAGAAGCCTGGAGTTAAGGATGATACTAGGAGTAGACAAATGGTCATGGAGGTGGAGGCATGGCTGACTTGGTCACAGGCCCACATCTGGTAGAATTTGAGAGATGAGCTGATCATCTCTATTCCTTTGGGACTCTGTCCAGATATTTTTAAAATCAGAATTTGTTATTTTCTGATGAAAATGGCCCATCAAATAAAAAGATTTGAAACTAAATGTATGTTTTTAAATATATTATTTTTGTTGATTTCAGAGAGGAAGGGAGAGAGAGAGATAGAAACATCAATGAGAGAGAATCATTGATTGGCTGCCTCCTGTATGCCCGCTACTGGGGGATTGTGCCCCAAACCAGAGCATGTGTCCTGACAGGGAATTAAACCATGATCTCCTGGTTAATAAGTCAACACTCCACCACTGAGTCACACCAGCCAGGCCTAAATGTTTTGTGTGTTTTTTTGAGGAGAAAAGTAATCCAAGTCTGTTTACAAGATACCCTCCTCCAGCATTCCCCTCTGCCCCCTTAAAGCCACACTTCTCAAGTTTACCTTTTCAAAATCTGTGTGGTAATTTCCTTAACACTGAGATTTACTTTCATCTGTGCTTGTCCAAATAAATATTTGAAAAATATTAGAAAAACCATTCTAGGCTGGAAAAAATGTTTGTTGCTTTCCTCTACCCCCAAATCAAAATTTCTAATGTCTTAGTGCAGCAGTTCTCAACCTGTGGGTCGCGACCCCTTTGGCGGTCGAACGACCCTTTCACAGGGGTCGCCTAAGACCATCCTGCATATCAGATATTTACATTACGATTCAGTAGCAAAATTACAGTTATGAAGTAGCAATGAAAATAATTTTATGGTTGGGTCACAACATGAGGAACTGTATTTAAAGGGCCAGAAGGTTGAGAACCACTCTCTTAGTGGAACTGCTTTTAACTAGGCATAGGCTATAACTTAGGGCTATCACTGGCTTTAATTCAGGAAGCCGGCGCTCTAGCTTGGCTACATAGTGGGTTTGTCACCTTGGATAAGTCCCTTGATTTTCTTGGGGTTTTGGGGTAATTTCAAGTGTTAAAAGCTCTATAAATCTGAAATGCAAATTATTTGCAGGAAACTCACTTTTCTGGCCAATATGGAGCTCCTCATTGGGCATTGCAAATCACTTCCTCCATGCTCAAATGTCCATATTAGTCTTCCTAGATTTGAATATTAACTCACCCAGACTAATTTAAATTATCCCAAGGCCATGAGTAAAAGTAGCATGGACCCAAGGGTTTGGGCAGCAGGAATGCTTAATGAAAAAAGAAATGTGTGAAATTAAATACTTTAGTGAGTGAAATTAGACCCTCTGCTTCCAAGGTGCTGAGGGTAGTTCAGCCGTTTATATTCAAGCTGAGCCTCATAGTCTCTTGCCTCCAGCCTGTCAGTCAGAGGAGTGTTAGCCCAGGAGCTCTGAGGGTCAGGATGCCTGCCGGCTACTGGAGCCTCCTTCAGGCAAAATCCCCTTCACTCAGGGAAGCTGGGAGCCTGGAGAACAAGGTCAACTGATAATTAATGAGGGTGGCTGGCAAGGGAACAGGCTGGGAAATGCTGGGAAGCCTGGGGGCAATGAGTAGCTTCATATGTGCAAGTTTGGAGTAATGGCCACAGGCTGCTGAGATGGAGCTAGAAAGTTCAAAAGGTGGTTCACACCCATCCCTGCCTCAGATGCAATTCAGAAGGAATCCTCCTTCAAAATTCTGGGGGATGGGGTGAGACTGAAATGTGCACACTCCTTGAATGGCCATGGTCTGCATGCTTTCCTCTCCACTGTCCCAGGGCCTGAGTAGAGCACACTTCTTCCCCACCACCTCCTGGAAGGTCTGTCTGTTCTTTCAGGTCAGCTTCTCATCACTGGGCCAGAACTCACAGGAGGGAGAATATGCCTAGAACCTTTCAACCCTCAGACCTAATATCCAAACACTATCTCAGTCGCAAGTCCTTTGCAACAGATCTTAGCCTCAGACACATTCAGGATTCATTTGTTTTCCTGGCAGGAAGATGGTATTAATAGATTAAAACTTTCTGACCAAAGCTCCTCATCTTCCTCTGATTTTAGTAGATAACAATATTGAGAACCAGCTAGGTGCCAAGCCCTGTGCTAAGTACTTTACTAACACTAAATCTTCCTAATGATAGGGACAGAAACATAATATTAGGGTCCAGCTATAATTATAAGAAATATTAATCATGCTCTGTTAACTGTGATTGTTTTGTTCTGATTAAAGAAGGTACATTCTAACCTGGCTGGGAGTTGCATGTGGGACCTGGGAGTTCACCCGGAAATGCAGCCCATCCTCCCCATCAGAGAGCTGCCTATTATAATGGAAAGATTAACAACCTTGTTGCAGAAACCAGAGCTGCCAGCCCTTTGCATATTGCCAGCCTTTTGAAGACCCCAGCCTTTGCATACCCCTAGGCCTTTCCAAATCTCCAGCCTGCATTACCTATTATCTGCCCATTTGGCATACCCTTTTGCCTACTTCCCCATGTAATCTTTGTCCTTCTACCCATATAAGCAGCTGGTTTATGGGGAGAGGCAGAGCAAATTTTTGTGGATGACCTACTGGTCTCCTATACTGCCAGTAGTACTGGAACAAATGCTCATATGTGATTCAACCCTGTCTCTGCTTACTAGTAATTGCCTCAAGTAGTGACAGGCAGCACATACCCATTGATTGTTCAGTTACACTAATAGCCTAATAGGTAGCTACTGTAATTATCTTCACTTTACAGATGAAAAATACTCATGTACAAAGATGGCAAGTATGTCCTCCAAAGTCACAAAGGCAGCCCAGGACCCTTGCTCTCTACTGTTCTGTCACTCATCATGGCCTCTACTAGGCACAGCTATTCTATGGGCGGAACTTCTTCACCTGCTTACCAGGCTTTATTGAGCACCACATCTGTGCCAGGCACCATTCTGGGGGTACAACAACCAGGAAGATGACAACCCATCCCTAGCAGGTTCAGTGCTGGAGACAGATGTATCTGTAAGCACTAGTGCTACACAGAAACAGATGATATAAGAAAAAATGTTCAGGGGAGACTCAGGGATAAGAGCCATCTGCATTATAATTATTTGCCTCATCAGAGTGTCTGGTACATTATATATCTGTTGACAGACAAAGGAGTGAATTCATGGAGGAGTTGACAGTTGATATGAGGAACCAGGAGTTAGTTAGGTGAAGAAGGAGGGGCTGGCAAGGTGTTTCAGGTCATGGCCATGGAAATGAGGGAACACAAGAGCTCAGTGTGGCTCAATAATCAGGGCATGGGACTGGAGATTGGAAAGGCTAGTGAAGGCCCAGTAGGCCATGAGGGGGAGGCTGGTTTTCATCCTAGGCATCTGTAGCCCCTAAAGGTGATAAGCAGGGCCGAAACATGGTCTGACTTGCTGGGAGAAAATTTGGCAAATTGGTTGGAGTAGTTTGCTTGGAAATCTTGTCCAAATAAATGAAACCATTAAAAGAATGAATTAAGTGAGGAACCCAGCCCATGTGCTTTTACAGTTTTACTCTTGGTCCAACCTAGACATGTGATTCTGTAGGTAAATCTTAGTACTGCCCTCAAAGAGTTTGTAATCCTAGCTGGGTAGATGAGGGAGCAGCTTGATCCTCACATTTTACACATCATCTTACACATGTGAGAACAAATTTAAAGAGACAGAGCCGCCAAGGAGGAAAGGACAGTCAGACTGGGTTTCCTCACACTTAGGCCTAAGCTCTTTCCTCTTCTCCAGGCCTCTAAGTGTATTTTCCCACTATGCTGGCATTTCCATCTCCATCAATTGAGCTTTCCATCCTGGGGCATCTGCTTAAGAAAACACTGTCAGGTTGTCTGTAAGAGTGGTGTAAAAGGAGCCTTCATGACATGATCTATTCCTGATGAAGAAATGACATGCATTGTGGAGAGGCTTCCTGCTTTTTAAGCTTGATGGCTTCCTGGGAACCTCTATTGTTGTTACACAGTCCTCTGATGAATGTCTCCACAGCCACAATCTCCCGCTGAAAAGCTTTAGCACAACCTCTTTCAACTACCCCAGCAAGAAAGATGGGTTTCTATGGTATGAACTGATGTTAGAGATTCTCAGGCTGGAGGGAGTGATGGTCTCTGGTTCATTTTATCCTCACATGGCAGAGAGGGGGGAGAGAGCTCTCTGGGTTCTTTTATGAGTGCACTAATCCTAGTCATGAGGGTTCCACCCGTTTGATCCAATCACTTCCCAAAGGCCCTACCTCCTAATACCCTCACCTTGGGATTGGAATTTTAACGTATGAATTTTTAGGGACATAAAACTTTCAGCCCATGCAAAGTGCCGAGTGTACTAGGGAGAATCAGGATAGACTATGAGCTATGAAAGTGAGACCACAGCACTCAATCTGCAACAAGCTTTAATTTCCCTTGCGAACTTTAATGCCAAAAACTCTACTAAATGAGCCTTTGGTTACAGGCTTGCCAGTTGATTACAAGCCCTTGGAAGCATGGTGTGCTTTTCTTCCTCTGCCCTTTGGATGAAAGTATTCTTCTCATCTCCCTCTGCCTATTGAGAGGTCCAGTTTAGAGATCATATTCCCAATTACTGTCAGTTTGGGCATTCTATAGGATACTCTCCAGCGGCTCTACTCTGTGGCTCTCTTAGGCCCGTGGTCGGCAAACTGCGGCTCGCAAGCCACATGCGGCTCTTTGGCCCCTTGAGTGTGGCTCTTCCTAAGCCTTAGGAGTACTCTAATTAAGTTAATAACAATGTACCTACCTATATAGTTTAAGTTGAAAAAAATTTGGCTCTCAAAAGAAATTTCAATCGTTGTGTTGTTGATATTTGGCTCTGTTGACTAATGAGTTTGCCAACCACTGTTTAGGCTATACCATTTGATTAGCACAGGCCATGTGCTGGGCTGTCTTTTCATGTATTTGTTCTTTTGTAATTTTGTTAATTGATGGCACACTTTGACCCTGAATGCATTTTGACTCAATGTTGTGAGCATAAAAGTAATGAAAATTATAACAATATTGAAATTTTATCACGAACACAAAGCTGGACTGGGATAAATAAAAGAAACACAATTGATCAAATTTTGATAATGCATAGTTCAATTTTTTCAGACTTTTCTACAGTTTTATTTTACTCAAAACATTCTTATCAAAGTCAGATATTTCTGATAGAAACCTTACAGTTTATATATTGTAAATTTTTAGTTATAAGTGACATACAATATGTTAGTTTCAGGTATTAAATAGTGATTAGATATTTATATACTTTGTGAAGTGATCACTATGATTAATTCTAATAAGAATCCGCCTCCACACATAGTTATTATGATATTACTATGTTCTCTATACTGTATTCTCTATTCTCTATCCCCGTGACTTTTATAACTGGCATTTTGTACTTGTTAGTCCCTTCACCCTTTTTTTCTCATACCTCTACCCTCCTCACATATGGCAACCATCAGTTTGTTCTCCGTACCTATGAGTCTGTTTCTGGTTTGTTTGTTTTTTTAAATTTCATGTGTAAGTGAAATCATACAGTATTCGTCTTTCTCTGTCCTATTTCACTTAGCATAATTACCTCTAGGTCTGTGGTCAGCACATGTGGCTCGCGAGCCACAGTTTGCCGAGCCGCAGTTTGCCGACCACTGCTCTAGGTCCATCCATGTTGTTGCAAATGGCAAGATTTTTTCTTTTTTAAAAAATGGCTGAGTGACATTTCATTGTACACACACACAAACACCATCTTTAGCTTTTTGATGGATACTTAGAATATTTCCATATCTTGGTTACTTTACAAAATGTTGCAGAGAACATAGGGGCCCATATATATTTTTGAATTAGTGTTTTGGATTTCTTTGGATAAATACCCAGAAATGGAATTTCTGGGTCATATGGTTATTCTATTTTTAATATTTTGAGGGATCACCATGCTGTTTTCCATGTTGTCTGCACCAATTTACAATCCCACCAACAGTATATGAGGGTTCCTTTTTCTCCACATCCTCACCAATACTTGTTTTTTTGTTGTCTTTATGATAATAGCTAAATCTTAAAATTTATCGATCAGGTTTTGATTATATACAATATCACTTGATAATAGTTTTTGCAATTTTTCATTTTTTGAAGTTTTCCATGTTAGGAAAATCTGTAACATATTTTGTCATGTGCAATTTTAGCCATTGCCAGTTATATTTTATCTTGCTTATATTCTACTAGTAAAGGTTTTTTATGAGTTGGGCAAAGTGAGATAGCCTTTCTTAGCTAGTCATTTGGGAATGGGAACAATTTCCTTGCCAATTCCAGTGGCAGACATTGGCAGCACAAAATACCACCACAAAGAGGAATTTCACAGCTTCATTGCATTCATTAACACAAAAGATGAGAAAATGTAATGCTCCTAGCTTTTTAGATTCATATTAATCATGAAGATTCTACTATATATCAGTATTCAATGATAACAAAAGTATCTTTTTGCTATGTAATTTTATACTCTGTTTCAGAACTTGATTTCCTAAGCTTTCAGGAGACTATTGTTAAATGAGAAAAGTAGTATATTTTCCCATGCAAAGCCACTTTACACTCACTTTCAATACAGATATAATGAAAAGTACCTAACCATTTTCCCCCAACATTTACTTTCAAAATTGGGATTTATACTACAGATCTGTACGTCTTACACACCAGCACGCATAGAAGTTGACTTTGACCTCTCTGTGAGTCATCACACTCCATTTTGCCTGCTGAGAGTGCACTTGAGAAAGAGAGGTTCAAAAGTCAGAGTTTAGTAATATCCTATTATAATTAGGGAGAAAGGATAGAAGATAGGGTGACTTGCTTACCTAACACCCACTTCATGATGAGCATTTCTGTCCAGGAGAATTGGGTGGTTTTCACTCTGAAGATCTGCTTTGGATAGTCTGTGAAGGTTTCATTGGGCAGGGTTTTGACACCTTCAAAGCGGTCTGATGCATTCACAACTAATAATCCCAAGAAGATTGTGAAAGAAACTGCATGGGCTACAAATTTCATGAAAGGGCTCCTTAGGGTTCGTCCTAGCTGGAAACAAAATACGTACAGACATGTTAAACTGGATACCCTAGGTGGGCTCATGTCTCTCTCTTTAAAACACTGCTTTTGCCAAATGTTGAATCAGGTCCCTGAACAGAAACTGCTAACTGAACTCAGGTAACATTTGCTCTTACGTTTTTTTGTTGTTTGTTTTTTAAAAATACATTTTATTGGTTTTTTACAGAGAGGAGAGGAGAGGGATAGAGAGTTAGAAACATTGATCAGTTGCCTCCTGCACACCCCTGACTGGGGATGTGCCCGCAACCAAGATACGTGCCCTTGACCAGAATCGAACCTGGGACCCTTCAGTCCGCAGGCCGACGCTCCATCCACTGAGCCAAACTGGTTAGGGCTGCTCTTGCGTTTTTATGTGAGCTGCTGTTTGGCCAAATCTGTTTCATACTGAATTCAATTTTTCTTATTTGGAGGATTTAGTGTGAAAGTAGAAAGGAGTGGAACACACTCACTATCATCAGGTTATACTTTGACAGAACAGCTCCCCAGACACATGGATGTGAATTTTATGCCTTTCAAATCTGTGTCAATAGCATTCAGGATTAGAACAAACACAGAAGTCTTTAGATATATGCTATGTTGCTCTTTTGTCCATTTTCTTGACTTTTTATGTTTAGATTATTTGTTTTCTGGTAAATTTATTTAAAGTGTATATTTCTTCTAGATACTGCTTTAGCTGTGTTTCTGTAAAACTTTGACTGTAGCTTTTTCTTTGATATTCAGTCATTAAATATTTTATAAATTCCTTTTTATTTCATTTTTAATTCTGAGGTTATTTAGTTGCCAGACATATAAGACTGTTTTCTGCTTTAAAAATTCTAATTTTATTGCCGCATGTTCACAGCTCATAGCTGCTATGATATTACACTGAGATTTTCCTTGTGGCCTAGCACATGATTAATTTGTGCAATTGTTCCGTGTGATGTGAACCTGAAATGATCCAAAAGATGCCCTGTTAAGGAGCAAATGTTGATCACATCTTTATTCCTTGCAGGCCATCCAAAGGCCACTTAGATGTCTGAGGACTAAACTGGGGGTAGAACAGTGAGTCTTTGCTGACCCTCATCAGTGATTCACTTGAGTCTCTTTTAGGCCACTGCCATCACCCTCATCTAAGCACCAAGTCTTACCTAGCACCCAAGTGTACTGATTGATAAGTCAAGAGCAAAGAGGGAAGCCTTTTCTGAAGCTCAGTTCCTTCTCAGGGCAGATGTTCACTTAGAACCAGTGACTGGTTAATTGAGGTCCACATCCTGCCTCATTCAAGAGTCCTAGAGTGAAATGTCACCCATGGGGTAGAGTGTTGGTTTGGTAGAAGATCAACTACAGGGTTTCTCCAAGTAAAATTTTCCTCATTATGACTGTGCTGAACACAATATTTATAAATCAGATGGCTTGATAATGTGCTTCAGTATGGTAATCATCTATTTTCATTATGCTAGTGTTTTGTGTAACATGATTTATTAAGATTCCCATGTCATAGAACCCACGTATTTACCCATTGAAAAAATTTTAAAAAGGTAGTTTTTATCTTATTTAAAAAACTGCATTCAAGTCCAGACATTGGGAAGCCCTGCTTGTGCTAGAGAACACTTGTTTGGATTTGCCTGCATCACAACTTGTTATATGGCAGCAGAATAACCTCAGAAATGGAAAAAGATGACCAGAAAACCACTGGGCCCATAAACATCTGAGACATGGCTTTTCTTTGTAATGTTTATCTTTCTTTTTTTAAAAATATATTTTATTGATTTTTTACAGAGAGGAAGGGAGAGGGACAGAGAGTTGGAAACATCGATAAGAGAGAAACATCGATCAGCCGCCTCCCACACATCTACTGGGGATGTGCCCGCAACCCAGATACATGCCCCTGACCGGAATCGAACCTGGGACCCTTCAGTCCGCAGGCCGACGCTCCATCCACTGAGCCAAACCGGCTCCGGCATGTTTATCTTTCTTATTTACAAAACAGAGATGGTGGACTATTTTTGGCCATAAGTAGATACGCTAAATTCAGAATGCAGAGATTAATATAAAGACAAGTATTTCACATAAATTCAGTAAAACATGAAATTAAATCAAATCTCATTTTGATTTATATGATTTCAAGTAGCAAGATTGAAATTTTTAATACTTTAGGTGACTGTTGACATATTGGAGTCCTGTTTCCCAAATAAGACACTGGGACACTAGGTGTATCCAGGAGACATCCTTAAGTAGTCAACACATTGCTTATTGTCACTGTGTCCTTGCTGGTGTGTGGTGAGAGGCAAGAGAAGATGGAGAATGTAGGGTGGGGAGAGGGAAAGTTGAAGAGGGGATAAGGGACACCAGCTCTTGTGTGTCCCAGCGAGGCCCCAGAAATATCAGAAAAAAAAGATTGGAAACATAGAGATAGACAAAGCTCCAAAAGGATTGATGGCTAAGTTTCCCCATCCTTTACAGTGATTTCTTTTTTTTATTTTATATTTTTATTGATTTCAGAGAGGAAGGAAAGGGAGAGATAAAAACATCAGTGATGAGAGAGAATCAATGATTGGCTGCCTCTCACATGCCCTACACTGGGGATCGAGCCTGCAACCCGGGCATGTGCCCTGACAGGGAATTGAACCGTGACTTCCTGGTTCATAACTCTACGCTCAACCACTGTGCCATGCCAGCTGGACTACCAGTGGTTTCTATGTAACATCTATAATAACTACCTGGGTGAGGAGGTGGGGATGAATATCTTTCCATCTTCTCACCTGGGTGACTTACCTGATTGCAGGAATATGCATGCAGCTGTACCTAAGCTAGCCTTGAGATTTCCTGGGAGAGCTGGTTTGAGGAACTTAATGTTGTCTTTGTTACTTCCTTTGATTGTTATTTTCTGACAGAAGTTGCATCTGTAAAATTACTATATCTACAGACAACCATAAGAAAAAACCCTGATAAGGCCTGCTATGATTTGGAAGATGAGCTTGTGCTCAGTTCCCACTTGATCTAGGCCAGTGGTCGGCAAACTCAGTCAACAGAGCCAAATATCAACAGCACTTCTTCAAAATAGACTCGCCCAGGCCGAAAACCGACTTCTGCGCATGGGCTACGAACTTTCAATCGCACTGTATGTGTGCCCGCACGTGGTATTTTGTGGAAGAGCCACACTCAAGGGGCCAAAAAGCCGCATGTGTCTCATGAGCCGCAGTTTGCCGACCACAGATCTAGGCTGTAAGGAAGAAAAGTGAGGTTAGGCATTGATGCTCCTTTCCTAATTATCTTTTGGGTTTGAATGTGTCTTTTTACTGGTAAAACTGTGATAAAGGTCAGATGAAATCAAATTATTTCAATAATTTTCTTTCTTTGTGTGACATTTCTTAATTGTCTCTCAAAGGTAATTTTTGAAGCAAATTATATTTGGGAAAACCTCCTTCTTTCATAAGGCCCAGGTGATCCAAAAGAAGGAGAAAAGTCAACTAATATACGCCAGTAGCTCTGAGCTGGGAATCATTAAAGCTGGGTCAGGCAACAGCATAGGTGTCAAAAGAGATGGCAAAGCTTTGGGAGATGTAGGACTTGGCCTGCTCTTCCTGGAGTGCAAAGCTCATTAGTCTGACACATGAGTTCAGCAGCTCTGTCATTACTTGGACCATAAGCTAAGAACTTACCAGGAAATCCAAGCTTGTAATAGTTAAGTCTGGCTCACCCCAAACTTTCTGGGCACTATTCTTTTACTTTGGGAAGTATATGAATGTGAGAATAACTGAGTAGCACTCCTGAATTACCTCCAAATGAACTGCATTTATGAGCCCTCAGGGTCAGGCACCTGCTTCTACTGGTAAGCTCATCTGTGTTCCTGGAACCCGGCTCTTCACCCTAACCCCAAGTGTATGCACCTAACTGGGCCTGGTGGCCATATGCCTGTAGAAAAGGCCAGGACTGCAGTAAAGCACACAGAGTGTTTCCAGCATCTCTCCCCAGTCTGTGATATCAAGAATCCCTTTCACCAAGTGCCGCCCTCACTCATCGCCAGTTGCCAATGGCCTCAAGTAAGGGCTCGGTGTACAAGTTGGAAAGGTGAATGGAGAAAAACTTTAAGTATTTCAAAAAGAAATACCTTCAAGCTGGAATGGTTCTCACATTTTAGAGAGATACCAGTTAAATTAGTGGCAGTTTCTTTAGAACGCTCCCTCCAAAATATTATTCAAAATGTCTAACCTAGGGCTCAGTAATCTTCCTGTCTTTGGGGTGGGAACTGTTCCCTAGGAGTTTATAATCAGGGTCCTCTTACATTACCATGTGAATCCACCTGTCATCCTGGGGGCTGAAGAAGTACTGAGTAACAGTGGGATTTCAAAGGTAGGGGTTCCGAGGAAGAAAAGGAAGGAATAGTAGGTTTTTATTCCTCCCCTTTAGTTAGTTCGGCCAGCCTGGCTCAGTGGTTGACCTATGAACCAGGAGGTCATGCCTGGGTTGTTGGCTCGATTCCCAGTGTGGGGCATGTAGGAGGCAGCCAATCAGTGATTCTCTCTCATCATTGATTTTTTTATTTTATTTCTCACTCCCTCTCCTGTCTGAAATCAATAAAATAAGGTCAGTTAGTCAGCAGCTAAGATGTTTGCATTCAGCATTGAAGGTTGTAATGCTGCTGATGTAACTGGGTGGGGTTGGGAGGAAGGTTGGTATGAGTGTGTGCGCGTGTGTGTGTGTGTGGGCATGTGTGCAGTGGGTAAGTAAGGTCAGGTTTCTGAAGCCAGAGAGTCTGGGTTTAAATCACAGCACCATAGTTTTTGGCAAGTTACGTAATCGCTTTGTGTCTCAGTTTCTTCATCTGTAAAAATGGGGATGAAATAGTACTTAATGCACAAGGTTGACATAAGGAATGCATTATTTTAATATGTGCAAAGCAGAACAGTTACTGGCACATTGGAAGCACCCAGTACGTGGCACTGGAAGGGCTGAGGCAGTTCCCCTAAGGGGAAACTTAAACTTGACTGACTCTTGAGAAACTTATATGTAAGGGTTCACAAAAGGAGACTTACATAGTCCTTATGTATTTATGTCACAAGCCTTTTTGGGCCACTCTCTATGTGCAACATGTTTCTGAGCACTGGAGGTGATGGAGATGAAACAGGCTATACGATTGGTCCTTCCCTTCAAAGCTGCTGGTTTGCCAGTCAGGAGAGACAGGCTGAATGCTATGAAATAGATGAAGAGGTGGGGAGAGAGTGCTGCAGGTGTCACACTGGGCTGGGCATGGAAGTGATCAACCTTCTGGCACTCTTAATCTTATCCCACAGGTAATGGTGATGGACTCTCCTTTTGGATTTGAGGACAGAAGCTTTTGTAACAAAGGAGCACAACTCTTATTTCCTAGCACAAATTTCCTCTCTGTGGCAATGCTTCAAAAATTGCATTATGGTTTTTTTAAATCCAGTGTAGCTTTGGTAGAGGCAAATGAGGGAGACACAGAGGCCATTGGAGGCACTGTCCTCCCCTGGTTGACCCTGGGACCATGTTTCAAACTATTTTAGCTTTGGAAAGGCAAAACAGGGATTCTCAAAAGCTGTAAAATCGCCCATGCCTTCCTGACTAGATTTAAAAACATTTTTATTGTTGAAAATATTATAGATGTCCTCCCCCCCCCCACCTTGACCCCAACACCTGGTTTGCACCCCACCCCAGGCCTGCATCACCCTATTGTCTGTGTTCATGGGCAATGCATATATGCATATAAGTTGTTTGGTTAATCTCTTCCCATCTTCCCCCTCACCCCCACCCCCTACATACCACCACTAGATGTTTTTGTTTGGGATGGGGCTGAGGATTGGGGGCAACAACTAACACTTTGATCTTTCTGGAAGCAAGAGTAATGTGGCAGTAAGCATTGATAGATTGCACTCTGCAAAGACATCAGGTGGGAGTCCACAGTTGTTTACAGTTCTCCCTGCCTGAGTCCTGGACTAATTTATAAAGACAACGGAACAGTAAAGGTTAACAGGTAATGAAGGAAGTCAGCTTCCCCTTTTGCACTTTTATAAATAGGACTTATGTGGTTCTTCAACACTCTCATGATGCTGACTTCTGTCCCAGTCTACCTGCCATAGAGACACTGAGCCCCTGAAGATGGCTGTTATTCTTTCAGTTGTCAGATTTTTAACAGGCAAAAAACCTAAAATATGAATCAGAAGGGAATAACAAAGGATGGAAAGTAGCCTAATCAGTTATCAAAGCCCTTTGGCATTGGGGCCCTTGTTGAGAGCTCTCTAGGAAAAGATCTACTTGAGAGCACCCATGTGGATAAAGAACCCACTGGCCCCTCAGGGGCTGCCTGAACTCACCTATGTTGGTTTTATAATGAGAAATGATTTAAAAAATCACTGATCTGTTTATTGACCCTGACAAACCTCTCCAGTGCTCCAGACCTGCAGTTATCACCATGTGTACACATTGGTGACTTAGTCATCCTCTTCAACCACCAGATCAGTAAGCTGAACTCCTGTTGACACCCTTAATCTTATTATCTTATTTGACTGTCTTTCTTAGAGACCCTCAGAAACTTATGTAAAAGTAGAATTGACAGCCTTGGGAATTCAATCGGAAATAAGTGATGAGGTGATTTGGCAGGCCAATCAAGTAATTTTGACAGCAACTACTAGGAAGTAAATACGCCATTAAGTTGAAAGCAGAAATCTCAATATTTATTAGACATTGATAGACAGTAGCTGGTTGATGAGGTTTAGCAGTGAGATTTTATGAATACGTAATTTCTTTGAGGGAGGTGTAATATCTTGACTATTTTATCTCTCCTTTGGCTGCATCGGAGCAAGTTTAAAAAGCTGTTTACTGAGGGACTCTTCCCTTGGAATAAGCATTGCTACCAAAAATTATCTCATGCCATAGGCTAGGACTTGTCACTCAGCTGTGTACATACCCTCCACTGCATTGAGCTCTGACTTGGAGCCAGGAAGGTGCACAAACACTATAATGGCTTAATGACCAGTTTCTTTATCTTGAGTGGTCTGTTTCTTAGTCTTTGTGGAAGTTCTAGGAGTACCAAATGTCAATCAGATATGCATCAGAACAGAGAGGAAGCCCCAACCATTGTGCCAAACTTTCCTGCAATCATTTCTTCTAGAATGTTCCAGAAGACTGCTATATCTTGGACCCCTATGTTCCATGGTAGCATCAGTCTCTTAGAGTTACTGAGCTACAAGAAAGTCCAAAATCCCCTCCTCCAGTGTGATTTTGGCTAAGGTTCTTCTCAGTCCTACTAGAAAGTTAGCCATTGGCATATAATATCTTTGTGAATATTTCCTCGGGCAGGCAGAAGCCAACCAATTTGATGGTGTTGGCTAGTCCCAGCTTCCTGGAAGCAGTCACTTTTAGTTTTACAGTAAAGTGATGTTGGCAGTGTTTTGTTCACCAAGTGGTTGTTATTTTAATGATTGAATATCCTAGAATAAGTTTGGGGCTCAGAGAGTGTGGAGGCAAGCATCCCCACCCATTTAGGCTCTGGGCAAAGGCAATGATAATTTGTAGAACAGACGAGATAATTCCAGTATGAAAATCTGTGCCTAAAACCAATGACCAGCTCTAATCCAGCTTTAAATCTTGTTCATTTTTTTCACTCACTGTACTTTTGAACACCACAGATATTCGGTATGAGGACTTTTATTTATTTGTTTATTTTAAATATATTTTTATTGATTTCAGAGAGGAAGGGAGAGGGAGAGGGAGATAGAAACATCAATGATGAGAATCATTGATCACTTGCCTCCTGCATACCCCCATTGGGGATTGAGCCCAAAACCCGGGCATGTACCCTTGACCAGAATCGAACCCAGGACTCTTCAATCTGTAGGCCAACGCTCTATCCACTGAGCAAAACCAGCCACGGTAGGAATTCTATTTTTAATGCCATTCTGCAGAGGAAGGAGTTTGAGTCCTAACCCTTCTCTGTGACACCCCTCCTAACTAAGGCAGTCAGTTCCATGCCTGCCTGCTTAAGTGGCCTCATCAACAGTCCTTAAGTCTTGGACCCACCATCCTGGCATGAGTTCCCTCTTGGCAGAGTTGACGAGAGGATCCATTTACTGATGACACTTTTATTAACTGCATTAGCTGATCATATTTGCTGTGGAACTAATCTCCCTGTAGTCATATTTCTTCTACTAAATGTTGATTACTTAAGCTTAATTCCTTTTTTAATATATCACTAGGTACATGCAGCTTTGGAACCTTTAATGGCCATCTTAACCCATGACATTTATTTGAAAAAATTTTACATGGTTCAGTCTTATAGGTGCTAACTCTTATCTGAAGCTGGAGTGACTGCTGGTGCTTTCTGTGACTGTGGATCAAATGACTGGGCTGTAGGGATGGCAGCTTGTGTGTGTGGCAGCTTGGGACCTGCAGGTTCCACTGCTTTCATTACCATTGGACACCAGATACTTCCCCTTCCTTGTGAGAAAAGAACCCAGTTTTGAACCCAGTTTTAATCTCTTCTCTGTCCTTTGTATTTTTCCTTTTTGTGACCTAATTAACTGTCCATGGGGGCCAGACCCAATCAAGGAAGCCAAGGAAACTGGGAAGATGTTGACATGGATCTGCAGTGCCCCCGCAGGAGCTGCATTTGACTCTCAGTTAACTAGTTATTTCTCTTTTCTGAACCTACTTCATTAAGTGTATGCATCCTACTGTAATTGAGGGAGTGAAATGAGATATTCCATGAAAAGGGCTTACTTAGCAAAGGAAAAGTATTCAGTAAGTGTTGGCTATTCCTCTTTTTATAATTACAATTATTACTGTGGGTTTGGAGGACATGTTGAGGATATTGCATAATTAGAAGAGGAAAAGTGCCTTTTCCCCCTCTCTGATCTGTTATTGATCAGATTGTCTCACATGTTTAAAATTTCCCATTTTATCGTACCTCTCTCTTAAAAAAAGATGGTTGAAAGAAAACAGATCTTAACATTCCCTCTAATGTGGTTTTCTACTTTTGCTAGGTATCTTAGATCTATTTTTTTTAAAAATATATTTTATTGATTTTTTACAGAGAGGAAGGGAGAGAGATAGAGAGTTAGAAACATCGATGAGAGAGAAACATCGACCAGCTGCCTCCTGCACATCTCCTACTGGGGATGTGCCTGCAACCAAGGTACATGCCCTTGACCGGAATCGAACCTGGGACCTTTCAGTCCGCAGGCCGACGCTCTATTTTCTACTTTTGCTAGGTATCTTAGATCTATTTTCTTTAAATGTGAAAAATGATCAGCTGCTTATTTGAACAAAGTGGACTTCAGTCTTGCTAAGTAGAGAGAGAAGAAATAACCACGAAGACATGCACCTTAAGCAATCTGTACCTTGCTGCACGGAGCAATCCAATAGGCTATGGCGAGAAAAGGGAGGCCTAGGGAGACTCCAAAGACAGCCAGGAATTTCACAGCAATAGACTGTTGACGTAAGCCTGAGAGATTTTCATACCACATGGTAAGCAATTGCTGCTGACAGTTAGGATGAGCAACGAACTGTAAAAACAAAACAAAAACAAAAAACAAAATGCAAACAGGAAATGGCATCAGTAGCACTTAAACAGTATACGACTTATGAGTAGCTTGGGGCTAAAATGTTCTACTTGGGGGTTGCCTGTGCGTTAGAGCAGGAGCATCTGGGTCAGGTACTTGCTGGGTCCGTCTAATTTGGGGATGGGGGGTCTTTGTACAGTTGCCAGAGCCCTCACAGGACTGGCTACATCAGTGCGTGGCAAACTGAGGACTCAGAGAAGTCTCAGACACAGAAAATGACAGCCGGCTTCTAGGTAAATGATTATCTCCAATCCAGGGAGACTTCTCTGGGCGGAGTTCATCTGGGAGTCAACATGAAAGAATGGATGGAGCATGAATGGGGTTTTGGAGTCCACATGGGTTTGAGTTTTGTTTTACCATTTACTAGCCTCGTGACATTGGTTTAGCTACTTAACCTCTCTGAACCTCAGATTGTCATCTGTAAAACAGAGTCTGTCATAATGTCTTATAGAATTAAATGAGATATTGTAGAAAGCTTCCCCTCTCTATTGCTATATAGTTTTATAAAAAGCACTGGCAGTGTTTCTGGAGGACTTGATACTCCTCAGTATTTCGCCACTGAATTCCAGTGGTGTTTGGCTTGGGTTAGTGGACTCTTTGTGGTATGCTGGAACACTGACACATTGTATCCCCCTACAGTAGCTTCTAAAACCATCTCCCTCTCTTGGAATTGCCCAGGTTACATGGCTGACCTCTTGTGGCCATTTTGTATTGTTGATCTCAGCCCTTTGGATAGAGCTTATTGGACTGGGGTGGGTTGGGGAGGGGTGGGAGTGGGGGACCTTGACTTATACAGGGTCCATCAGGTTTTCTCACCAGGGTATTGGAAACTATGATTGGAAGAGAAGGCAGTCTCTTTATTTCCAGGGGTGTTAACATGTAACCTGGGGAGATCTGGGCAGACATTTTCCACTGTGTGGACTAAATAGCAAAACATGCCAGTTTAAAGGGGAAAAAAGAATTAAGTGAAGAAAGAGGCTCAGATAGTGTCTGACCCTCTCGAGCCCAGCTCCACTCTGCCCACGTGGTCCATGAGACACCTCTGAATTCACCCTTTTTCTGCTTGATCCAGCAAATTGACTTCAGTTGCAACCACACATTCTTTTTCTGCAAATATTTGGTGTACTTGGTCAATTGTTAGTTGATTCTGAGTCCTGACCCATGGAAACTGGTAATAGGCAATATTTAAGTATTTTGTGAGAACACAGTTTACATTTGAGAAAATTATACTCATTTGCTTATTTTCTTCTGCGACAGGAGAAAGCCATTATGTGCTTTGGTAGCCCTGCTCTTTAGCCCTACTCAGCATAGGAGCTGGGTGGGACCCATGGACTAGAGCAGATAGACCCGGCATTCTTCAAAGGGGTTGAGTTTCCATCTGATTACCCTGGAGTATAACATGCTGGTTTTCATCTCATTTGCTTCATTGGATTTTAAAGAGGACATGTACAATAATTCCTGGGAAACATTCCCTTTATATTATAAGAACAATATAAATAAAGCTATTTCTAAAAATTCTCAATGCAGATGGCAACACATTCTTGTTTCTGGTTTCTGGGAACTCAGCAGCAGCCAAGTGACCTGTGAGGTCACTATCAAAGGTTTATTTGGTTCTGGAGTGTCCCCTAATCTAATCTAATAAAAGACAAACATGCAAATTAACCATACCTTTGCTACACCTTAAGCCATGCCCACCAGCCAATCAGAACGACTATATGCAAATTAACCCAACCAACATGGCGGCCGGCAGCCATGGAGCTGAAGCGAGCAGGAGGCTTGCTTGCTCCAGTGATGGAGGAAGCCAAGCTTCCCCCCTGCCGCGGCCTGGCTGTGAGCTCCACTCAAAGGAACAAAGTTGCAATTATAGAAAGTAAATAAACCCCAGATATCTGCTTTCAGCCACGGCTACGGAGCTGGAGCGAGCAGGAGCCGGCTCTCAGCTCCACTGAAGGCAACAAAGTTTCAATTATAGGAGGTAAATAAATCCCAGAATAAAAAAAAAAACAAAGAAAAAAAGGAGAGGCTGGGAGCTTCTGTCGCCGACGGGCTTGGCCATCCTGAAAACGGCCTTCAGGGGACCCCCACCCTGAAGGGGGTGTGACCAGCCTGCAAACAGCCATCAGCCCCTCACCCAGGCTGGCCAGGCACCCCAGTGGGGACCCCACCCTGAAGGTGGTGTGACCACCCTGCAAACAGCCATCAGCCCCTCACCCAGGTTGATCAGGCACCCCAGTGGGGACCCCACCCTGAAGGTGGTGTGACCACCCTGCAAACAGCCATCAGCCCCTCACCCAGGCTGGCCAGGCACCCCAGTGGAGACCCCCACCCTGAAGTGGGTGTGACCAGCCTGCAAACACCCATCAGCCCCTCACCGAGGCTGGCCAGGCACCCAAGTGGGACCCCCACCCTGATCCGGGACACCATTCAGGGCAAACCAGCCGGTCCCCACCCGAGCACCAGGCCTCTATCCTATATAATAAAAGGGTAATATGCAAACTGACCTTAACAGCAGAACGACTGGGAATGACTGGTCACTATGACACACACTGACCACCAGGAGGCAAACGCTCAATGCAGGAGCTGCCCCCTGGTGGTCAGTGCACTCCCACAGGGGGAGCTCTGCTCAGCCACAAGCCAGGCTGATGGCTGCCAGTACAGTGGTGGTGGTGGGAGCCTCTCCTGCCTCCTCAGCAGCACTAAGGATGTCTGACTGCAGCTTAGGCCTGCTCCCCACTGGCAAGTGGACATCCCTCGAGGGCTCCCGGGCTCCCAGAGGTATGTCTGATTGCCAGCTTAGGCCCAATCCCCTGGGGAGCGGGCCTAAGCCAGCAGGTGGTCATCCCCCGAGGGGTCTCAGACTGTAAGAGAGCACAGGCCAGGCTGAGGGACCCCCCCCCCCCGCCCACTGAGTGCACAAATTTTTGTGCACCAGGCCTCTAGTAATACTATAAATCAAACATCAGCTACAAATGAGGCTTTTTTGAGTAGCTTTATACATAGTAACCCCATAGCAATGATTATTCTTGACCCAGGTAGGAACCCCAGGCCAGCAGCCGATATGCTTTCCTGTGTCCTTTCTGGATCACAAAAAGTGGAGCAAGCAAGACAATCATATGAATGTTTAGGTAATTCTGAGAGCCTGGTCACAACACAGGTGCCACAGGGGGATGGCGAGTGTGGGGGTGTAGTCAGTTTTGTTTTCAATAGCCAATCTTCTCTAGGTGTTGCAATGGCCTTGCTCTGGAGAAGTGGACAGTCTGATTAGACAGTGGGACATATGCCCATGAAATAGCAGAAGACCATGTGGATGTGTAATGGCTCCCTGCACTGTAGCTGCTCTGGCAGGGCTCCAGTCCTAATTCCCCCCATTGGCCTCTTCGTCTGTGTCTGGGAGAGTCCATCCTTGTTGCTTCTGCTGCTTCCTGCAAATAACTCAGCAAGACTGATTAGGCAGCAGAGCTGGAGGGGAGGGCACAGTGGAAACCATTCCCATTTGCTCTTGTCTTCCTTTGAGGAAGATGGTGGACCCTGACAGTAGCAGGTAGCTAGATGAAGCCCAAATTGTTATTTTTATATGGGCACTTTTCTGTAATTGTGGCAGGCCTTCATGACAACTTCATGACATAGAGTTCAATGTGTATCAAAGGATTTTTTCTACTGTGCTTTTGAAGCACAGAGAAATATCATCACTGAACCAAGGAAGATGAGAGTAACATGAGACATACCATCATGATACAAAGAACACCATAGCCAAAAGGGCACTCAGCCACAGAACAAATGCAGAAAGAATTCCTGGGGCCAGGTTGGGGCAGGGGCATGATTCTTAAAAGCAGGGTCAGATGAGAACAGATGGAAGAAAAGCATACAGCTAGAATAAAATTGGAACTCAGAAAACTGTTATTGTCTTGGGCCTGTTTTCTTTGGCATCTAGCACACAGAAGGATGCAACAGTCAAAAGCTGAGCGACACCAAGAGCTTTGCCTGGCTATTTCTGCCTCTAAAACATCTGGATTGAGGTCATGGTATGCATTTATGAAAGTTATTCTAGGGAAAATTGATGTAACCACCTCCATTTTCCCAGTGACATGATTCACAATCTTCATAGCAGGGAATGTGTAATGCCCGGAGCTGAGAATCTGCTAAGGTGGGCTTATATGGAGCTAAGCAGCCTCAAGAGAATATAAATCAAACCACATTCACCATTGTGATGGATTGTCCAGAGAACTGGGCAGGGAGCAGGGGGAAAGCTAAGAGAAGTTAAACTGCAAAGAGCGAGAGCAGGGATCTCAGAGACAGAAGTCCCTATAATGGGAAAGGAGACTAGTGGGATGAGCTAGACTGGGAAATGATCTGAGAGTCAGAGGGACCAGGATGTATGTGGCTGCTGGTTCTTGAATCCTCCCAAGCCAGTTATTCTGGTGGCACATTTGACCAGCTTTTATGGTTAATATAACAACATTTCTACCCAAAACTAATTTCTGATAACATCGCACCTGAATTTCTTGTTTCTCCCAGACCCTAGTGACATAGTGTGAGAGTATAATGCTGGCATAGGGGAACTCTTGGATATATTGGCCAAATCTTGGCTGTTACTTTGCTTTTAATTTATTGATGGCCAAGGGAAAACCATTTCCTTAACTTTCTTCTCCACTTTATATTCATTCACAAGGAAATATCTGACATTTTAAGAATAGTTGAAGAGCTATAATCATTCACTAACAATTGAGTAGTTTTAGGGTTGTTTCCTGGGATGTTAACACCCTTGGGACAGATACTCACATTGTAACAGGGTCTAAGACTTTCCTGAGGGGGGCATGGTTAGGTGCATGGACTGGTGCAAGGCTGCCTGGTTCAAGTCCTGGCCCTGCCACATGCTGGCTATGTGCTCTTTTGTCATTGGTTCTTCTATGCTTAGCTTCCCTCTTCTGTAAAATGAGGCCAGT